GTATTAGGGAGGCGACAAATACTCCTGCTGCTCTTAACCGCTGTGGCTTTCATTTCCGGCTGGTAATAACAACAGCAACGACGAGAAGAAGAGGAACAACTGTCATGCAACTTCCTGCTTTGGCGCTCGCTTTGGCTAATGTGATTGCAAAATGGCGTGCATCCGGTTTACTGCTTTAGCTGCTGCTGCTGCGCACTCAACTCCTGCTGCTTGCTGCTGCTGCTGCTCATGCTACTTCTACTCATTCTACTCCTGCTGTTGCTGCTGCAGTTGACGCTTCAAGCCAAAAGCCACTTAACAATTGATTTTCTACTGCACGTACAACAGAAGACAAAGAACCAATTTATTTGCTGGGTCTGCGTAAATTACCCGAACACTAAACGAATCCATGTACACACATACACACACACACATTGATAGATACACCCGAGGGAGTGCTAACTAATGCGTGTGTCTTGGCTTTGGCTTTGGTAATAAACATTTTCGAGATTAATTGTTTGCATAATCAGTCTTTGGGGGTTGGGCAACCCTCGACGCTGCTGATTTACGTGTCGTATACGCAATATTTATGGCACATTCCATTTAATTGTGCGTTAGAATATTTACGCACACTCCTGTCCGAAATGCCTCGACACTTGAATTATTAGCAGACATTAATTTTTTTGCACCCTGAGGACCCACCTTCGCCCCCTCACCACCCCTAGCAGGCTCACTCGCCCGCTCACTAGCTGTTTGAAAAGGCTTAGGCCGCATTAAGTATTAGTTTGGAGCTCTGCTCCTACTTGATTGACCGTACAATTTTAGTTGGGCACAAGAGCTTCTGCGGTTTACCTATTTATGCGCTCTGCGCTGGGGGTCGCCAGCATGCTTAAGCAGGTGAAAAATTGTCAGAGGCCAGTCAGAGGCAACTGTCATAGGTCCTGATAAGCGTTGCCTTACCTTTGGGCCATAGTTTCAGCAAAATGGCCATAGATAATGACACCAGGGCCAAGGGTTAAGACATGCCAAATGGCCTAAATATAAATAAAGAAAATTCATCTTCGGCTCAGTTGGCCTAACTTTTTTTTTTTTTTTATTCTAGCTGCTTGTGTTTAATTAAGCGATGCAATTTGGAAGAGTTTAGTGCATATGTATAGCCTCTAATAAAGCCTTTATAAAGCTTATATTAGAGGATTATGGTTAATGAATTCGAATATATTTATTTTTGAAGGTCAGTTAATGTAGACATAAATATAAATACATATATAAATATTATATAACATAAAAACTATATTTTAATCTATATATAAATATATAAATATATTTTAGTCTTACTAAAGTGTTTCAAATTTAATTTTTCAAACATTTCTAAGCTTCATTTCAACTCAATAAACTTTCACAAATAAATCCTCTCAGTGTTTAATTCAATATAAATCTGATTATAGTTTCAAGTATATTTTGAACTGTCCAAAACATTTTCTGTTACACATTTTTGGCATTCAATATATTTCAAAATTGAATACATTTAATAAACTTTTCCAAATTTTCGCCTCCACACACACACACACAAACGCACTAAGCGCATTTGATGCCCGCCAAAAACCATTGCGAAATATTCACACTAAAAAGGCAACAAATTTATAAAGCGCGAACACGAATGCCACGCTAACCGCAAAGCCTCTTACCAAAGTGACCAAAAACAGCAGCTGGCGCTGTTGGCGGGGTCAACTTTTTGTTTCGGTTGGCCAAATTAACCAAATCAGCTGAAAGGCACACAATAAATGGGCTTAAAATGGGCAACTTAATCAATGCCGGCCCAAGCAATTGGCATGCGACAAATTTTAATTTGGATAATTAAAGCGCGACAATAGACAGCAGGAGGTGTGCCGCAATCACACCCGCTCCGCCCCCTGCTATAGCCACACGCCGTGCATTTGAAATCGAATCGCAATAAATGAGCAGCGGGCTATATTTAAGTTTTAATGCGGCGCGTATACGCAATGTGGTTGATTTGCAGAGCATTTGAATGTTTTTAGCCCGGCCAGGCATTTGGCCAGCATTTGGATTTGCTTGCATTTGGGCCTGGCTAATTAACTGCCAGGCGCATAATTAAAATTCGAAAGGTGCTTTGTTTGAAGCCCCACGCTCAGCCAACAAGCTCACATGTCAGCTAACAATGAATAATACGCCCGCTGCACCCGCCTCAGCTCATTTGCTGGACTGGGCTGGACTGACTTTAGCGCTGGATATTAGTTGGCCATGGTGACCATTGGTTGTGCGAGCGTGTGTGTGCGTGTGTGTGTTTGTGAGTGATGCATATCACATATCACATGTGGGTCTGTGTGCCTGCACTATTTGCGGTTTTAATTATGCGCTCCGCATGGACACAATGGAACAATGAGACGCATGCGAGCTGTTGCTGCTGCTGCTGCTGGCTGCAAAATGATTGAAACAAATGTTGCAGCCCAGTCAATAAACAGTGCCAAATACCCTATTATAATAAATGAGCAGAGGGTATATTGAATGTGTAACTTTAGATATTTTGACTATAATTTTGACTTTTCTCAGGCAAACTAAAAATTACTTTTACAGAATTTTTCTTTAAATTTCGTATTAATTTATCTACCCAGTCAACTCTGTATAGGGCATCTTCGTCGCCTCCCTAGCGCTTTATTTTCATAATTCTGTCCGCCTGATTAATGAGCATAGCCCAGTTGCAGTTGGCCTGCACATTATTGCAAGTGGCCGCTGACTGATAACCGAAATGTTTAGCAGAGCACATAATTTTCGATTATTAATGCGCATTTCGTGCAGGAAACACAATGGCGCCAGTCACTGCAAATGCAATTGCAATTCCATATCCGGGCAAAAACTGTTTTCCATGGAAAACCTTTTAAAAATACGAGCGAAAGCCATTCAAATTTGACAAAAATTGTTCATTTTATTGAGAAACAGCGAGAGTTATGGTCATATATGATATGGCTAGCTCTTAGATATGGCTTGAAATATATTTAAAAATATTTTCCAATGCCTAGATAGACTTGAAGAACTCTTAAGTAATATTATAATATATTATATATATATTTAAGCAATATATATAAAAGATTTTCTATAACTTTTCTTCTAATTTTTAAAAAACTTCAATAGTTTTAATTAATATATCTAAAGAATTTTCTATAATTTTCTCAGCAAATCTTTTAAGCGCTGTGGTATCAAAACTATAAAATATATGTGTATACGTATGTATATTGTATAGAAGCTCCCAAATGTCATTCAAGAATTTATATATTTTCAGATTTCTGCCACATTTTCTCAATGATATTTCTCACTAAATCTCTTAAGCACTATCATATCATATACTGGGTGCTGTTGCCAAGGCCTATAGCCCACAAAATCTATTTAATGCCAATCAGTCAGAGCATTTGGCGCCCACTTTGACATTTCAATTGTGTGCGCACAGAATCTAATTTTCGTTAGGTTTTTCTTCTTCTTATTCTCTCGCCTTTCTCTGCATATTTTCAATAAAATTTTCATGCGCCAATAACGCTCGCAGCCTCCCATTTCATCGACTCGGCAGCGCTGTGCGAGTGTCATGTCCCTGTCAAGTGGAGAATGGAAAAAAAAAAATAATAATAATAAAAAAAAAAAATGTATTGTGTTGACTTGCATTTGACAACTTAATGAATTTCTCGCCCACTCTTAATGTAATGACATTTTCAAGTAATTCATCAGCATAAATCATTTTTTGAACGCCAAGTGGCGCCCTCTAACGTTCGGCAGCGGCAGTTTAACCCTAATACGTGCGATATTCGTGCGGACGCTTTATGAGAAAAGTTTTCTCGAAAGAGTGAAAAAATGGCTACTACGTGAGCGGCAGAAAAAATGGAAGAAGAGCGAAAAAGAGAACAGCGAGGGGAACATACATACATACCCACACACACTCACACACACATGTCATAAATGTCTGGCAACGCTGGCCAGGCTGAAACATATTTTTTGACAATGTGCAAGTTTTCCGCTCATGGAATATGCTCAACGGAAAAAACTTTTATTTTTATGTACGACGTCCCAAAGCATCAGCAACAACAACAACAACAACAACATCGACAATATCCAACTCAAACAATCTGGCATCACATCGAGTGCACAGAGTTGCCCCCTTTCAGGAAGTTCGTGTAGATTTTATTTGTAATTTGCTTTTATGCTTTATCGCTCGCTTGATTTTTATTATGATTATTATCGTGGGAATTACACAGCAAGTTTTAGGTCCTTATATCAGCTTTTCCGTCTTTCCTTCTTCATATTTTATCATGTTTTTTTTGCTTGTTGGTTTTTTTTTTTTTTTTTTTTTGTGCCCTTGGGGGGACTTCAAAGATTATATTCGAGTGTTGTTTGTGTGTGAAAATTTCTAGTGATTTATTGGGTCAGCCGTTGGATTTGTTGATGCTTGTTGCTGTTGTTGTTGCTGTTATGTTTGATGTGCCTTTGATGGCTTAAGCCTGGCAGCTTGTTTGTTGATAAGCTGCAAAAGTCAATTGATTGGCTGCTCTGTTTGTAGCTAAGTTTCGATAAGGCGAACCAAAGCGTAGCAAAATCAAAAGGATACTCAAATAAATTTCTTACAACTAAAACTCACGCACAAATTAATTAAATACAGATGAAAAGGCAATCAACTTACCTAAAAAGAGAAGAGAGAGTAAAGAAAGTGATTTTAGTAAAATATAATATTGATTAATATATAAATATATATGATTAATATATTGTATAAATAAATATGTATATTAAAGCAAAGAATTAAATTTTTGTAAATAATATAGGAGCTATGCTTAGCATATACCCTGTAATCAGTGCACAAAATAAATAGCTTGAATGTCAGACTGCCGTATGTTGAGCCTGCTATATAAACACACTAATATATACCATCAAACATTTAACTAATATAGATCGATATTCAATTATTTTTCAGCTCCTCAGCTACATAGATATTATATTTATTAACAGCATACAATATTTATAAATTTATTCTCATTTAAATATCTTAATGTAATATAAAATATAAATATATTTTTAAGCTTAGATGAGATCGCAAGCCGAGACATTTGTGGCACCAAATATCAACTGAAGACTTTCGCAATTTACTTCGAATCGAAAGACAACAACACCATTATTTCGAACTGTTATAAAGATTCTGTTTGTCTATTGAAGAAAAAGAGAAAATAGTTAGAGGGAAGAGAGAATGCTAGAAATAAATAAATATATATACCGTGGACGCAATTGTTGTTGTCAGCATTGGTGTTGTTGCTGTTGTAACATCTATTGTTACTGTCGTTAGAGGATCAGTTGTTACTGTTGTGGGAGCAACTGTTGTTACGGTTGTAGGTGCAACAGTTGTAGGAGCAACAGTTGTAGGAGCAACTGTTATAGGAGCAATTGTTGTTACGGTCGTTGGAGCAACGGTTGTAGGTGCAACAGTTGTAGGAGCAACAGTTGTAGGAGCAATTGTTGTAGGAGCAATGGTTGTAGGAGCAATTGTTGTAGGAGCAATGGTTGTAGGAGCAATTGTTGTAGGAGCAACTGTTGTAGGAGCAACTGTTGTTACGGTTGTAGGTGCAACAGTTGTAGGAGCAACAGTTGTAGGAGCAACTGTTGTAGGAGCAATTGTTGTAGGAGCAATTGTTGTAGGAGCAATTGTTGTAGGAGCAACTGTTGTAGGAGCGACTGTTGTAGGAGCAACTGTTGTAGGAGCAACTGTTGTAGGAGCGACTGTTGTAGGAGCAACTGTTGTAGGAGCAACTGTTGTTACTGTCGTAGGAGCAACTGTTGTAGGAGCAACAGTTGTAACTGTTGTAGGAGCAACTGTTGTAGGAGCAACCGTTGTAGGAGCAACTGTTATAGGAGCAACTGTTGTAGCAGCAACAGTTGTAGGAGCAATTGTTGTAGGAGCAACTGTTGTAGGAGCAACTGTTGTTACGGTCGTTGGAGCAACGGTTATTGGTGGATCAGTTGCGTCTGTTGCAGTTGTAGGAGCAGCAGTCACAACAGTCGCCTGAGCGATAACTTCAAAAGTCTCTCTAGGCGCTATTGCTCTACTAGCTGCTGCTGCCGTTGCATCCGTACCATCAGTAAATTGGTCAGCCATTAGCGACATGCCCTGTATTACACGATGTAGCCGAAACATGCTCATTCCTATATCCCGATATAAATCGACACCATTCGTAGTGCTCTGAACGATGAAGCAGGCGATGAGGTAGAAACGTATAGCGTACATGTCAAGGCGCTGACAACTCCGAAACTGTATGAAGTCCAGAAGACCCGCATGCCTTTTATGTTCGCCTAGAACAAAAGCTGCGACTAACGGTTAACATAACAGAGAACGAAGTCGAGCATAGTTTGGTTTGATCGCAATGCTATAAGTCGTCTTGGAACGTGTTTCTCCAAGTTAATTGCTAGAGCTTATTGATTTTTTACTCCCTCTCGAGTGCATATCAGCTTAAAACGTGCTAGTGGTTGTGTTGGTCTTTTATATAACTGCATGAGATCATTCTTAAAGAATTAATAACACTTTCATATTGCATAATTTAGTGAGTGAAGTGCTAATTCTAATTTTTTTCATTTTATTTTCATGTTAATTATCTCTGAACATCACACAAAGCTTTATCCACTTTCCGGAACTGATGTACCTTGATATTGCGAATCGATTTCTCTGATAGGCAACTCTCAGTTCTCCGAACAACTCAATTTTGCATTTTGCAGTTGCTATTGTTGTTGTTGTTGTTGGCGCATAAAGAGCCTAAAAATCCGCTTTTAGCCATGATGCTATGGGGATGTGGGCGAAATAACCACTAAAACCACAAAAGGCTCAAAACCGTAAGTAAAACAAAAACAAACTTCTACAGAGCAGTCGGACAGACAACATGAACGTTGTTTAGCACTGGCCAAAAGTGGTTCCAGTTCGACGGAAGCACAGTGTGTGAAAGGCAAATGTGTAGAAGAGTGTATGTGTGTGTCTATGTGTGTGTGTGTGTGTGTGTGTGTGTGTGTGTTTAGCATGCAAAAAGCACAACCAGCAAAGTGGAAGCAGACGAGCTGCTGTTGCACCGAAGGTTGCCACACACAAAAGGGGCCACTAAAGACCTGCACGTGTATTTACATGTGTGCAGAGATGTATGTATGTGTGTGTGTCTGTGTGTATTTAACAGCAAAGTCAAGCACTTGTGATATGCACAGCACAAAATCCAAATTTAATGACCAAGTAAAATAGACACCAAAGTCGAAGCGAAGAGGCAGCAAGTGCCCTGCCCCACCTCTCCCTCTCGCACTCTTCCGCACGCTCTGTGTCGGTGTGTGTGTGTATGTGCATGTCTGAGGCGTGGCACTAATGTTAGTTGAATGTTTGCGTTTGGCTCGACATACGCTTTGTTATCAGCATGCGTCCTCTCATCGTGCCTGCCTTGCCTTTGCTTTTGCCTTTACTTTTTTTTTGCTTTCTTGTTTTTTTTTTTTTTTTTTTTTTTTTTGCAATTGGATATGCCTTTTTGTGCCTCACGGCTCTGTTAATGTTGACAATGCGCTGCCAAGGACATGGCACGATTCGGCTGCACAGCGAAGTGAGTGCGGAGGAAATGGAGATGAAGGGCCGGCCTCGCCCCCTCGCCTCCTCGCCTGCATCGCTGCCTAACTGGGCTGCTGTCCATGTTGATGGAGTGTTGTCATGGCGCATCGTTAACTTAGCAACTAAGTTGAGCACACACACACAGACACACGCACACACATACGTGCACACATGCACATATAATAAAGAGGGAAAAGGGAAACCGTGTGGCCGTTGGCAAAAGCTAAACGACATTGACATCGACATCTCGACATCGCCATCGACATCTCTCGACATGGACATGCAACATCATCAGCATCCACATTCACAATGGAGGGCAACTTTTGCAGATGCCCCCTCCTTCCACACCTCTCCCTCGTAAGCCCTCTGGCTCACATTATGGCAAATTATGACATTGACAATGCCCTGGCAATTCCACCTGGCCATAACGTGTCCTGGCTCAGCCGTCACCTCGGCCTGCCCCGCACCTTGGCAGAGGTGTCACATTTCTTAACATGACCCCGTTGCCAGGCGTCATTTTGCATGCAATTTGTTGCGGCATGCCACACAAACACACACACACACTCACACACAGACACACATCTAAATAAATATTTCATGAATACACTCCAAACGAGCTCGACACAAAAATAAAACGAAAACAAAACTTGAGCGCTACCAAACTTAAAGCCGAAACGGAAGTTTCCACAGAAGTTCAAGATTTGTATCCACAGGCATTAGCAAATTAAAAAGTTTACTTTCCGAGAAAGAACACAAACGAATTTCTCGATTTACCAAACAACAAGGAGCTTAACTTGTCTTGAAGTAGGTTGTATACTCGCTTACAGCATGATTATATGATTACTGAATAACAGAAAATCTGAATGATTTGATATGAAAAATGTGGAGAATATAATATAATATAATATGATATATTATGGGACCAAACCTATTATATATAGTCAAAATATATTTCGTATTTCTGAAAGACTCGGATCTTTATCCTAGCTTAAAAATTCATGAAGTTCAAAAAGTCTTTATAAGCATTCTCAGGCATTAGCAAATTAAAAAGTTTATTTAAAAAAAAAATAAAATAAACGCGACTTCTTGACTTAGCGAAGAATGAAGAGCTCAAGTCGTTCTGAAGTAAGCTAATTATATAAGAATTTGTATTATTAGAGAGAACCAGTAAAGATTTTTCTTTTTATTTATTTATTTTATTAGATTCTTTTATTAATTAATTTAATTTAATTAATTTTTTTTTATTGAGATAAATCTTTGAGATGTGATCATGTAGCTTAAAAGCTTTGAATGGCCGATTCTTGATTATAATATGGAAAATACTTAGAATATCCATTAAGAATATACAAAATATGTAAAATATTTAGAAAAATAAATATATAAATTTTTAAACATAAATATTTGCATATAAAAAATAGTAAATTCATAAGTCTCTATGTCACAAAAGCTGTATGAAAGATAAAATGAAATATTTACGAATTTGCTCTTAAAAAGGGAAACAAATATGCATTTGCATATGCACATTTGCATAAATAAATATATGAAATGAACGAAAAAAAAAAAAAAACATTATCATATATACATGATAAAATCTACATCAAATATCTAAATCGAATCTTCAGCACCTCACTAAAATTTGTTTAAAATTGTTGAAAAATGAAAGCATATTTTCAACTCTTCGCCCAACTCTGGCGTTATCAGCTCTTGACTCAAGTGTAAACACATAAAATCAACTGTTTATGCAGTCAAATCTATCAGATCTAGAGTAAGGCACAAACTCATATATACTATAGATAGACTAAAAATGTTCCGCTCTCTTGTTGGCTCGTTCGCTGGTTCGCTCCGGTAAGTGTGCACGAGGCAAAGTGCAAAACAAAACAAACAACAAGAAAGTGTTGCATACTTAGCAGCGCCGTCTCAGCCACTTGTCCTTGCTGTCGTTTTCGCTGCTGCAGCTCTGAAGCATGTTGCATGCTTCATGCTGTTCTTGTTGCTGCTGCAGCGGCTGTTAAATTTGCGCACAGCTAAAATAAATGCCATAAAACGAAAACAAAGCTTAAGTAAAATTCGCTGTAAAATAAAAAGCAAAAGATTTGCGCACAACTTTTTGTTTTGCGGGCCACGATTTCTAGTTTTGTTTCCATTTCGCCTTTTTGTTTTGCATTACAAATGAACTTTTTGTTGTTGTTTTATTTACTCGTTGTTGTTTGTTCTTCCTCTTCTTCTTCTTCTTTTTTTTTTTTTTTTGAGTATTACGTGCGAGCATTTGAACATTTCAACATTTTCATTGCGCCCAGCCTGATGAAATTTATGTGCATATATTTTATATTTTTATTATTTTTTGTTTTATGCTCCTGGGGCGGTTCATTCATGCGTTCCGGGTCGAGATTCACAGTGTTCGCATCGCTCCGCCTTGTTGCAGCAGCAGCAGCAGCAGTTGATTTTCGTGATTCATGCATAATTACGGCTATAGTGAGTGCCTTCATATATATGCATAGAACGTTGATATATGTATATGTATGTGTGTAGGCACAAGCCCGTCTGACTGGCATATAAATCAACGACCAAACAACAATCAAATGTCCGCCGGATTGTCCAAATGTTTGATATGATTGTCATGCTGCGGTTGCAACTCAACTTGAGCCCCTATATACATATATCCCTTCATACAAATGTCCTCTGAATGCCGGATTATACGTTGTATACGTTCCGTCAACAAATGCATTTCATTTGTATATTTATGTAATTCCATTTCCATTTGAAATGCAACAAAATACGAGCACATCATATAAGCTCTTTTAAGCTCAACTTTATGAATTTCATACTTATATATGTATATAGTATATGCTTTTTTCTGTTTGTACTGTAAAACAAATTACGCTTATAAAGTCTATTTTAGTTTTAAAGGAATTTCTGTTTTATAGAACAAAAATTTCCGCCAAAAAATATTTTAGCTTTAAGACTATCTTATAGTATAGGCTTGACAAAGATTTTTGGAATTAAGTAAAATTATATTTTAACTCAATTCGAAGCACAATAGGAACTCTTAGCTGAGGAAGTCATTTTTCTGTATTATGAAACAAACAATAGAATTTTAATCAACTGCAGATTTATTATCTGCCTTTCCTTCTCTCATTCGCTAGCTCTCTCGCTCCTTCTTCACCTCTTATCTACATCCCAAATCTAATGTCAGAACATAATGTTTTAACTATTTCATTCAACTAGACAGGCGTTTAGAGCAATTTCGAGTATGTTCTTTAATTCCATTAGGAAAGTTTCAGCCCACTTTACAGGACATTTTAACGCATTTGTATGCGTGTGTAGGCGGGGGCGGGAGACACACAGTGCACACAAAGTTTTGGCATTAAAAGCGCGTTCTATTCAATGGAGAGTGCTGCCCCCGTCGGCCTCTCCAGAATGTTAATGCTTAAAGTGAATGCGGTCAAAATTCAATTAAAATCAAATGTGTGCTACAGCTATTGTTGCCCTAACTTTATGTCCGAAGTTTTTTGACTGGGCGCGGTCAATTGAAAGCAATTAAAAGTGGGCGGCCTCTCTCTCTCGGTGGAGTATAATCCAGAAATTGTGACAGAAACCTAAATCGTTCTCAAGTGAGAACTGTGCTTAGGATTAGGCCAATAGCTGTGTGTGCCTGGGCGTGGCCTCTAAGCAGCTCAAGAGCTTAGCACAAGCACTTTAAATTTGAGCTACGCTGTTGCGGATTTTCGACTGCAAAGTCACGTGGCTGAGTCAGTCTAAAGCAGCAGTAAAAATTTCGTGTTATTATTATTACAGCTTTCGTTGTTGCTTTTGCTGCTGCTTAATCTGCTGCTAGTGCTGCTGCTGCTTCCTCTTCTTCTTCTTGTTATAGTTTCACTACCTTATGTTATTGTTTTCATATGTGCCAAGATTCTGCAGCAGCGCGAAATTCATTTTTATTGCATACTTTTTTGGGGCACACTGCAAGACTTACAAAATGGCTGCCAATGCACACAAAATGGCCGCCCGGCTAACAAAGCATTTGCAGCAGCATATACAATTGGGGCGTGGTAGCATTGGGCTGTGTGGGTGTGTGGGCGTGCCTTTAAAAAGATCTATATCGTATGGGAAGTACGAGTAATTAATAGCTGCACAAAAGCGCCTATGCAAACAAACACACACACACACACACAGAGAGACGCACACACATACACAAACACAGATTATTGGGCGCCTTATTGCTATCGTAGTTGGGCGCTGTAATTAAAAGATTAATTTTTAATGTGCGCTTAGTGGAAAACGAAGCTAGAGATTGAGCATTTGCCGCTGGCGCATATAAATAGAAAGGATTTTAGCAGCTACCACACACACATACAAATATGCACACATACACAGCTACTCACACATCCATACACCACATACACAAATTGTAATTTATGTTCCATTTCTGCCCACTGTTTCTTTTTTTTTTTATCAAAGTGCAATTTTATGAGCCCATTTTTTATGTGCTCAGCTCTCCCTCTCTTTCTCTCTCTATCTCTCTCTTGCTCACTATAGCTAATATATTAAATATGTCTATCTCGCTTGCAGCCTTTGCTCTCTTTCTTGCCAGTTTTGTTTGCTTTGTGTTAAATTTTTTATTATTACGCGAGAGATTTCCGTTTCGGCCAGCCTTTTTTCGACTCTTCCTTTTTATATAAATATATATTTTTTTTTTGTTTCCTTTGCGTTCCTTTATTTCTGATTTTTCGCTTTTGCTTGCAGCTGAAAATTAAATGTGCACACCTGTAAATTTTTAATGCACTTTGGCATAAGCTTATTTCATACACATTTTTGTTGCTCCCACTTGATTAAAAAGGTAGTTCATTTAATATTTAACAAGCTGCAACAAATACACTTGAAAAAAATTGATGCGCACTGCGATGAACAAGTTATTATTATAAATAATTGGTATGAATTTTATTATATTTTAATTCATTTGCGCTTATCGCTTGAGCCAATTAGATGACAGAAAAGCATTAAAATTTTATTAAAGAAGAAAATGTGATTTATAATTAAACTAAATAAGTTTTTGTTATGGCTGACAAATGAAATTATATAGATCAGTTATTGAATGAATGCATATGATATATAAAAAGGAGGCTTTGTTATGGTTTCGAAATTAAGTTCAATGTCACATATTTTTAAATGAAATTTATAAATTATAGACAAGTCGAACTCAGGTATATATTTTTAAAATATATATATTAAAATATTGAAAAAGGTCTAATTTTTTTTGTAATATCAATATAATTTATAGAAAAATATTGAAGTCGATTTTATTATAAAAATGTACTATAAGAGAATAGATTTTGTCGGTATTTGCTGGCTAAATTTTATCATAAAATAAATAAAATTAAATATTTATATATACATATAATATTATCATGCTAAAAAAAAATAATAAAAAAAATATATATATAAAATTAAACAATAAATTATATTAAGATATTTCATTTATATAAAACGAACGATCTCATTTAAAAGTTATATTAAATTATATACAAAATTTGTATTTATTAAATGCATTTCTTTTTCAGACTCTACCCATAGCAGATTTTCTGCAGCTAAAAATATACTTTTAGCATATCAACAATAGAGAAACTTTTTCAATTTAGCTAAAATGTTCAGCTTAACCAACTATAGACGTCCCCGCCCCCAGCGCCAGCAGCACTTATGCACTCTCGCACCACTCACTCGGCAGCACTTTCAGTTTGTTAATCGTTATTTTCTCGACGTTTCTCTGTCGCTTATCTATTTGTTCGTTCGCCTGCCAGACACGCTTTATCCTTATTCATGTCAACAGCCGCTCGCATCTGTGCGTGCACTATCATTAATATTTAAAAGAGCTAAAAGTAGCCAACACTCTTTCTTTCTGTTTACCAAAAAATGTACAAAGACAAAGCGCGCATAATTAGCAACAATACAAAAACAAATAGAAAACGACAACAACAACAACAATAGCTAAGCGAAACTGGGCAGCCAATTAGTGAGCTAAAGAGGGCGTGCCAAAAAAAAAAAAAAAAAACACACAGATAGGGAGAACGAGAAAGCAGTCAAAATAAAGCATAAAAAAAAAAAAAAAAAAATAGAACGTCGCTCAACCAAATAAACTTGACAAATTACACGCTCCGTTTGCCATGCACCAAAAACGAGATATATAGATATATATGTACATACATATCTAGCAGCTAAGCCACTTTCCGAAGCTAACCGAAATGCAAAATGAGATAGACGCTTGTAATGTGATACAGCAGCAATCACAATTAACAATAAAGCGGCCAAAAGGCAACTGCAATAGCCTGCAGCCAGTGACACGGGGTAATGTGGTGTCAGTAGTGTAAGCCAATTGTTAGAGGGTTACAAAAAATGGTTATTGTTGTTGTTGTAACTTAGTTAACCAAGCATACAAAAACAACAAATATTTGTTCGTCATGTAGATGGATAGCTGGCTGCTCTACTACCACAACTGCCTGAACTAATAACCGCAAAAGTCTAAAACTTGATTAAACTGCGGTTAATGAGGCACTCTATGTGCTCAACGATCAACATCTTGCCTAATCATGGCTCAGCTCATGCCTCAGCTCGCATATCAGCTAACATCGCGCTATTACATAACTCGCCTTCTGTGGCTTGGCTTTGACACTGAAGCCAAATGCGACAGGTGGCTGCGCGATGTGATGCGATGCCAGCTGACAAGGGCAAGGTAAACACAGGCGTTGGCCAAGTTCATATTCGGGTTTGATCATATGATATAAGATCATGAAAATGCTATTAAAGCTGACATTGAGCACAAAATATCTTCTACAAAATTAGAGAGAATATTCCTAAAAATCATTCTCATTAAATATTAACAAAAATTAAATAATAATTAATATAATATATAATTTTTGACATATGTATGTATATACATAAATATTCTTCCTTTCGAATTTTCGTATGTGGCTGATGATGAATATATAAAATAAATAATTCATAAAAAATCACTTAGATATTTATTTATATTATAAATCGTGAAATTTGTTTGTCCAATATGCTTTTTAATGAGGCAATATATTTCCCATCAAAATGTCCATTAACATTTCAGATGTTTTGATTAATTTAAGGCAAATAGAAATTAGTTTATTATTCTTAAGATAAAATTACGCATTAAAATTATTTTAAAGCATCATGAAACATTTAAAATTATGAGATAAGCACATTTGAACTATATTTTTAATCTAAAATATAACTATACAAAAATTAAAAAAAAAAAAAAAAAAAAAAAAAAAACTTTTTAATTTGAGAAAACCAGAAATCAAAGACTTTGACAATAAAGTAGAAATAATATAATAATCTTAACAAAAAGACATAACACTATGTGTTATACACATTCTTTTTTAATCAGTCGTAAATTCAGAACAAATGCCATAACATATTTTTGGGAAATGTTTATGGATATGAAAAGTGTATAGAATAAAAAAAATTACAAAATTTAATTCATTTGCATTCAATGTCAGCCGTTTGATTGTCAAAATTTTTTAGGTACTCGCAATCTTTTTGCTTTTTATCAATTCCCAGGCAACGGTAATATATGAGAGATGAACGCATTGTGACATCGTCCAACTAATAAGCACCTTAGATGACTACATTAAAAAAAAATTTTAGGTCTAAGAAGGTTCCCAATCCATGCACACGTCACTTTGATATCACAAAGCTAATACCTAAGCCCCGGAAAAACTTCCGGAATCCCGAAACCACCAAAGGACCCGCATCAGTGAAATCGCCCATAGCCAAATCTTACATAGACCCAAGAGTCCGTGGATATGTCAGAGCGCCAGCCGAATGGCGGCCGGTCGATAGTGGCTATATGCCAGACGATCGAGGCAGTCCCTACTTGCTGCTCTCCGAGGACGAGGACGACTTTTCGCAGGTGAATGAAAATGCAAAGAAGCTACGAGCACCTACCTGTCACAATGTGTTGCATGAACCGCGGCTGAAACTGGATGCGCCCGATGTGAAGCGCCTGGTGCGCGGCATACGGCTCAGCATTTGTGTCGAGCACACCCACTTTCCACTGATTGCCAAGGTATCGAAGGGTCTGGGCCTCACCCACGTGCCAGAGCATCGCCTGTGGAATGTTCAATGGTGCGATAATACGCCCCATTTCGATCTACTGAAGAGTATGAAGCGATTTCAGCAAATCAACCATTTCCCCGGCATGATGGAAATCTGCCGCAAGGATCTACTATCGCGTAATCTGAATCGCATGCTCAAAATGTATCCAGGCGACTATCGCATATTTCCCAAGACCTGGCTACTGCCCACAGAGTAAGTGTTGAATACCAAATCGATCCCGTTGCTCGGCTAACATTTTCCTTTCAGCACCTACGATGTGGCTGTCTATGCTAGCAAGCACAAGCGCACGTTTATACTCAAACCCTACTCATCGGGGCAGGGGCGTGGTATTTGGCTAACCAACAATCTGCGCACGGTGGGCAGACAGGAGAAACTGATCTGCCAGACGTACATTGAAAAGGTGAGTATAGGAACCCAGTTTCATCTACATTAGTATCCGATTATAACGACATGCTCAAGGGTTCGTCGTTATATCTGGAAGTCATTATGTGTATATAAGTTTGCTTATAAAACTTTGTCTGAGGACCAGACGAATATCTCTCTATCTCTCTCTCTCTCCCACTCATTATATCTCTCTCTGTGTCCCTCTTTTTTCTCCTTCCCTAATTACTCTCTCTCTCTCTCTCTCTCTCTCTCTCTATTTATCTGTCTTTCTTTGTTTTTAGCTCTTTATATTTAACATAAATTTTATTTATTCATATCTTTTCCATTTTAGCTTTATTTAGTTGTCTCTCTGTTCTCCCTTTTTCATTTCATTCTCATTATATCATTTTATCATTTAATTACTTAATCCATTTTATCAATAAAATTTATATTCTAATTCTCAACTATTTCCCCCTTCTTTAGCCCCTCCTCATCGATGGCTTTAAGTTTGATTTGCGTGTTTATACGCTGGTCACTTCAGTGGATCCGCTCCGCATCTTTGTCTACAACGAGGGCCTGGCTCGTTTTGCAACCCATAAATACAAGCCGCCGGCGTTGGGCAACAGCAACAATATGTTCATGCACCTGACCAACTATTGTGTGAATCGCCGCAGCTGCAACTATGATGCAGGCACTGGCAATGACAAGGGCTCCAAACGGAAATTGAGTGCATATAACAAGTGGCTCGCCGATCACCATTACAATGTGGATGAGTTCTGGGCGACGGTGGACGATGCGATCATCAAGACCGTGATCAGCGCTTGGCCAGTGCTGAAGCACAATTATCACATCTGCTTCCCGAAGCACGATAAGATACAGGCCTGCTTTCAGCTATTGGGCTTCGACATACTCGTCGATTGGAAGCTTAAGCCGTACATTCTGGAGGTGAATCATACGCCCAGTTTGGCGGGCGGAGAGCCGGTTGACTTCGAAGTAAAGCGTCCACTGATACGCGACACTTTGAACCTGATCAGCATGCCCCTGGTCGACAAGGAGGAGATCATCCGCGAGGATCGTGCGCTGCTTCGTGATCGTCTGATGAGGCAGATGCATCGACGCCGTGTGGTCACTCCGCCCAAGGACGGGTCAGGACAGCGACCAGCCGGTGGCGCCGACGAGAATCCAGTGTGCTCTCTGGGCGCTCTGGCCCAGCAAATTGCCTGGGAGGAAAGCCATTTGGGCAACTACAGGCGCATAATGCCGCCCACCGACACTAATCGGGTCAGTTACTACTTCAAGTTCTACAATCAATACAAGGATATACCCATGTTCAAGGACAACACAGCCAGCACTAGTCGCCATCAAGTCACTCGTGAGCATTTGAGGCAGGAGCATCTCCAAAGCCAATTGCAGGACGAGCACTGTCAGCTGAATGAGCAGCTGCAGCTCCGCAACGACAATCGGATACCTCTTCTGAACAAGCAACTGCTCAAAGAGAAACGCATGCAAACACTGGCCATAATCAAGGACATACAGCTGCAGAAGGCCAAGATGTTGAAGCGGACGGAGGGTAAAGAGAAGGTGGGCTTATGGCAGATGCTCAATACGCCGGAACGGACGGAGGTCAAGAGGCGCAAGCATCGAGAGAACTCTAGGAAATCCTCGAGGCAGCCATCGAGGGACTCCTCGACGCAGTCCTCAAGGAGATCCCCGAGGCCGTCCTCGAGGCATTCTTCGAGGCAGTTCAGAAGAAAACCAACGGATTCAAACGAATCAACCGATACAAGCGAGCTCAAACGTCGCAAAGCTTTGCCTGAGATCTCGCCCAGCCGCATCAAACGCATCCACGTGCCCAACGCCAAGTCAAGCCGACGCGCCAAGCATCGCAAACTGCAGCAACGAATCAAACGATCGCGTCGCCTGGAGCGTGAGTCCCGCCTCGACGCCGAGTTCCTGGCCAAGCATAGCATTGTGGCTACTGCGCGCCTGCTGGCGGGCAGCTCCAAGCCTCAAACCTCCGCCACCTCGCAAATGTGCAGTAATGTTGTGCAAATGCCATGCCAACTAACCGAGTTTGAGTCCAAGCTGAATGCCTTTAACCAAGTCGAGCTACAGTCCTACCAGGAGCTCACATTCAGCAAGTACAGCGATCAAAATGTTGACTGGCTGCCCGAACCCATCGACGAATCGGACAATCAGCAGCACTTTGAGTGGCGATCAGAGCGCGAAATGGCTGTCAAGAACAGCATGTTTAAGGAGGTGGTAAGTAAATGAATTTGTATCGCACGGAATGGCAGTTCCCTTTAAGATCACTTGTTCCTCTTGATTTCTAACAGATAAGAACTACTATATCATAGGCGCATTTGTTAAACTAGACTTTGCTAGTTGAGTTCGATACATGTCAAGTTCGTAGTTACGTAGTTTTTGATCCAGTCTTGAGAATTTTCGATCGTATGTATTTTAACATATCGCTATATGAGTCCAATGTACTTCGTTGACTGATCGATACGATTTCAACAATACTGATATAGTAGTTCAAAAAAGATGATTACTGTTCAATGTTAACTAATTTCGAGCTATTTTCTTAGCTGTTCCATGAAATGTACGAGCGCGGTGATCTAACCAAAAATGATATTAGACTATTTCCAAATCTTCTGTATTCAATACTGCGCCATCAAATGAACAATAAAAATATTTATAATTCATATAACAAATACAATAATAATACTGATAAGGAAAAGGCTAAGGAAAGTATGTTGGTGACAATGAATTGAATGAAGAATATTTGAAATTGAAATTGCATTTGAATGAGACATATCCGAAAAACAGAGGGAGACAGTGAGAGACAGAGAGAGTTGGTAAGTGCCTCAGCCCGCAGCATTCTAACCAAACCCCATTCAATTGCATATCTTCAAGATCTGCATTGAAAAGTAATTTCCGAATCTTCTTTATCGCATAAATCTGAACGCCATCATCATCATCAGCATCACCAACGAGCAAGTACAGTTACTACTATGTGGGAAAACCCGAAACGTACCTCGTCGTTATTGAAACCTTCAAAGACCATAGTCTTTTAAATAAACTTAAATTTTAAGTGTAAGTTTGCCGCAAAAATTCGAAATTGTAACATAAAATATGGATTTAAACCCAAAAAAAAAATCTGTCACGAAAACAAAAACCAACATGAAAATCTTTCATTTTCATGTGCTTCTCTTCTGGAGACTCAACTAGCATTTCGGAAGATATCAGAGTACAGAATATTTTGGTATATACATAAATCAAATTAATTGTGTCGTATTAACTAAAGCAGCGCAAATGTGACGCCCGATGAAATCGAAATTAGTGACATCTCTGAGTGCCCGAAACGAAGCAAATAATTGTAAATGAAACCCCAAGCAATAAACTACAATTCATGTATACACAAAGGCATTCAATAGTTATGTTAAGCATCGAAAGCATTAAATTTATATAAGCAAAATTATAAATAAACAGATCTATTTCGGAAATGTCTTTAAGAATTATTTAGCTTACTCGCTTGTTCTATTCGAGCTGCCTCGACATCTGATATTGATTGCAATCGCAAACGGGAAAATACAATTTTCATAAACTTCTTTTGCAAGCAGTTCATAAGCATGAAAGCCTCCCCCACTACCCCATCCACCTGCCATGATTTGTCAAAGACAAACCATGCAAAACTTCTCCTAACCCCAACGAAGCCATTCCCTCTAGATAACTCTCAGCTGCCAACATCCTTGCGCTTTGATGCTGCTCTAGCATCCATAAACAAAATGCAACACAATACGCTAGCTAAACTTGGGGCTTGGGGCTTGAGCGGGTCGGAGCCTGGCGCAGTCTTCAAACTTGCATTATTGAAAACTGCAGTTGGCTACGCTTTTAGCTGCCGTTGCTGCCGCCATATGCAAAACAGCCATCGCAGTTTTTCACTAGACGATGGCAACGGAGGAGGCGGCTGCTGCTGCTGCCAAGCCAAAGGACCTGCCTTTGGTCTACTAGGGGCTTATGCTCTATGGTCTATGTCCTATAGCTTTGGCTTTGGCTTTAGACGTCAACGCATGTCCTGCGTTCCCTTTCTGTTTTGTATATGCTTTAAAAATGGGCGTAGTAGGGGCATTCTCTTTTCGTGCAGGCGTATGATACAGGCAGCGGAAAGCAAATTTAAGGCAAGAAATTATATAAATGCCTGAACAGACAAGACGATTTAAGCTGTGAATGCATCTTTACTATGGCTACAATTTTAATTGAAATAAACGATAAATCTATACATGAATTATAAATGGAAATCTAATCTGTGATTAGCCTATGTAATTATATAATAATAGTAAATTTATAATTTAAGTTAAGATTAGGAGAATAGAAAGAAAAGAGCAAATAACATTTATATTGTACAGTCGAGTCTCCATAAATTGTACCCCGCTAAATCAAAAGTCCCGATAAATCGAAAAGAATAGTCTATTCCCTGAAAGAAATTTGTTTTTAATAATTCTCGATAATTTGAATTTCTGTGTAAGTCGAAAGAAAATCGTCCCCTTGTCATTTCGATTTATCGGGATTCTACTGTATATAGAATATATCATAACTACATTTTCTAATACTTTTGAAGCGATTATAAAGCCACAAGATGGTTTAGGCATTGGGCACTTTAAAAACTGAGCTGAGCTTTAAGCTTGACAGTCTTTAAAAATAAATATGTTAAATTTATATATTATATTTCTATATATATTATATACATGTATCTAGCACCATTCGTACTATAAAAATAATTCATATCTCTGAAACTTCAATATTTCGTATATTCAATTGTCTATATTTATAGCAACTAAATATCCAAGACTCTCGGCATCTGCTAGTCGTGCATCCCCAACGGAAAAACCTTTGCATTTCGCAGCTGCAACTGCCATTGTGGATGCCGCTGCTTCTGCTGCTGCAGCTGCCTTTCCAGCCATGTGTCACATATTGAAAATTGTGCAGCAGCAGTCACAGCAGCCAGAGTCAGGCTGTCTTTTGGCTTATGGCTGACTGCCTGCCTGCCTGGCCTGCCTGGCCTGGCTGACTGGCTGGCTGACTGCCTTTCGGCCAACAAAGTCGAGCACAGCGCCCTGATAAGCCATTCGAAAGAGGGTTTTACATATGCCGAGCTCTAAGCGAAAGACCGTCTGCCTGCCATACTTCTGCAACGTATTGTGGCAGCTGTGGCGCATGGAGCTCGCTTAATATTTGATTGAACATTGTTGCGCCTGCTGCTAATACTTTTATTGCATTCTATACAGCTTCTTCTTACACATAGTCGTCGTCATCATCCACATCATCTACATCATCATGATTGTCTTCTGTTGTTCTGAGATCAGCTTAAAGTTCAAGTCGTGCTCTTGCCGGCTTGAAAACTTTGGCCTGCACTTTTCCACATATGCAGCAAAAATTTTCCGTTTGATGCTTTTAGTGTCGTCTTATTAAAAAGTTTTTAATCTTATCTGCGAACCAGCCTCCTCCTTCTTCTACTTCTCGTGCTTCTCATCCATTTCCCTTGCGTTGTGTAGCGCCCACACAGTTGTCGTTTTATTCCCTGATAAGCTCTTAAAATTCCTACCATCTATTCTTTGGTCCCGACTCCTGCTCCCTCTCTCATTCACTCCATCTATAACAAAGCTGCGGAAATGACTGAAGCATTGCAATGGCAAAAGTTTAGCTCATAGTACACTAAGTGTTCTTTCTTTTTTTTTCGGGTGTGCGTGCGCGTGTGTGTGTGTGTGTGTGTGTCTGTCTACATTGTTGACAAAAGTTGAGGCTGCTATTAGGGGTCGTTTAGCTTGCGATTAGTTCGGCTAAGTCAGTCTACGATGCTCAAACTTCCTGCCTACTTTGCAAGTTTTCGAAAGTTCTTTAGAATTCGGAAATGTCTCAATTTGAAATTGTGCAAAGAAAACAGAAACAAAAACGAAAACATATACGAAAAACTTCAATCACATTAAGGGTATTAATTTTAAAGTGGTTTCGCACATTGTTTAGGCTGGGCAAATACTTGAAATTTTTAATTTAAATCGATCCAGCAAAGTAACTAACTAACGTAACTTGGCTAAGAGGCCAGCAAATTGGTTTAACTTTGTTGGTTATTGTTGTACATTGATTGAACTATGAAATGCATCTCACTCACTGATTTGTACTCGGTTAAAACTCGTGATATATATATATGATAAATTTTATAGCGATCTGTTGCTATTAAAACGTGCTCCTAATAAAAAGTGAAAATGAGTTTCTATTAAACACACACTAAACATATATTTTGCTCTGTGAGAAACTACTCGTATAATGACGACCCCATCATTTCATTAACAATTACTCAAGTCGTAAACATGTTGATGCACTTTATGCGCGTATATTTATTGATGCTTCACCTCCTGCACAATATCTGCAGCACACGTTCAGCTCATATAAGATATATATATGTATTCCTTGTACTTTCCGCTTATCAGTCATAAAGCATAATGTGCACTTAATCTTCATTTGCACTGGGACAACATTACGACACAGCGAAATGCATACGAAAAGGGAAGGAGGGAGTGAGAGAAAGAGAGAGTGAGATATGCATAAAAATTTGGTTGAGTGGGGGCGTGAAGTTGACTTCAGCTGCAGAAAGCCTTTTAATTTGTGCCATAAAGGCGAAAAAGGAATTGCTTAATTCCATGACAAACACTCGCAGCTGGAGTGCATATAAAGGATAGGCCCCGACGGGAAGACAGATCTACAAGCCAGCCAGCCATCCCAGCCAGCCAGTCAGCCAGCAGCTCTCCGAATCCCACGGCGATGACTTAAATCAACAAAAGATTTATGCCAGACAGCAGTATACGGGACAGCAGAAGCAGAAGTTGCATTGAGAAAAAAAAAAAAAAAAAAGAAGCTAGGCGTATATAAATCCTGCAAGTCGGACTTAACGGCAACAACAACAACGGCAACAGCAACGACAGCAACATCAAAATCTGTAAGGACCAAAATAGCGCCCGGCTAAAAGTCAGTCAGTCAGACAGCCAGTTGAATCAGGGCGAGAGGGCGTGGCAGGGGGTAAATTTGGTAAAGCTGCGACAGAGCTCTTGCTTTTGTTGCATGCGAATTAACATGTCTGGCCCAACTGTAGCCAGCCAGTAGTGCTCTATATCCCCAGCAATATCCCTCGCTGTATAGCCACATGTGTACCACATACACACACATACATGCACGTCTATATACACATATATACATGTATGTTCACAACTGACGACTGGCACAAATAATTTGCAGTTTTACAGTTTTTCAGCGCTTTTATGCTGCATGTTTTCCACTTCACAGGATTTTATGTGCCACTACGCTCGGCTCAAGTGTTGGAAAATACAATTGCCAAGCTCACACACGTACACACAAATACACATGCACTGAGCGAAAAAAAAAAACATTTCCGCATTTGTTGTTGATGTTAGTTTCTTTTTTTTCTGCTACTGCTGCTGCTGCTGTTGTTGTTTGTGTTGTGCCGCCAAATGTTTTGCCTTTGCTAAAAAAGACAATAAACTGTGTCAGTGCGGGCCAAAACACATGTGTGCGTGGCATATATACCCTGTAAACTGGCTGTGTTTGGGCATAATGGTCAAAGCGCGTCGGAGTATCAAAAGTGAAGTATTTATAATATTTTTAGAAATAGAAAAAAAAAAATACTAACTTCCTGGTTGATCTTTGTTTAACGACTTAAATATTGTATAAACACGTGTATACCCTATATATTCTCAAAATATAGAGCTGCATTTCAATGCATTTTATCTTATATAATTACACATGTAAAGCAATTTGTTATAATCATTAGAAACCCATACAAATGATGTACAAAGTGATATAATTAATTTTATATCATTACATTAATTTATTATTATATTCTAACTGCATTTACAGGGCATTTAAAATTCGTTTCGAAGAGGACTCTCTTCTAACATTTCTTAAATGTATCTGCAGCAGTATTTGTTTTTGCATCTGTAACTGTGTTGCAGCACGGCAAACACTTGAGTTCTTCATGCATTTTTTATGCACTTTTGTTGCATTGTTTTTTTGTAATTGCTGTTGATATTGTTGGTGCAACTGGGCTGCTGCTGCTGCTGCTGCTGCTGTAGGTTGTTGCACGTCTAACAATGCACTCTGGCTAAACACTCAGCTAAACACACACACAAACAAAATCTGTGAGTGTTTGAGCCATATTTGTTGGCGCTTTAATATGTCACACATTTTGTGTCCAGTGTTATGGCTAAAAAGTAACACATATATATACGTACATATATGTATGTATATGCAGCATATCTGGCCACAAAAGCCACTAAGCAAGCAACATCAAGTGTTCCACAAAAGACACCAATGAAAATCCTCTAGAAAAACTAACAGCAAACCGAACCGCCGCCTTTCAGCTGCCAACACTCAGCTAACACACAGCACACGCAGTGAGGCAACAGTGCACTATGGGGAAAAATCCAAATTATCGGGTATTAATTAATAACTTAAAAACTAAGCCAGATTTTTTGATCCGGTTTTTGTATTATTAATATGTATACCATCAGAAATATATTTTAGAAAAATGGGCGTGTCACCGCCCACCCAAAAAAAATTTATTAAAATTTTGTATTAAAAATTTTTTTTTTTTTTTAAGAATTTTGCTTGTTCATACTTTAAAATAATAATTTTAATTGAAAACAATCGAACTTTCATAAAATCGAAATTAGTTTTCTTCAGTTTCGAGTTCCAAATCAGCCAGAAATATTGATCCGCTAAAAAAATTCGGGTTCTTCAACTGATTTAATTGTGCCTTCAACTTTACATAATACAATACGTACAACTTCCTTAGACAGCGACCTTTATGCTTTCAAACTCTTTTCTAAAGATTTGCCGAAGAAATAATCTGATCAGATGTATCCATTGTTAAAAACCATCAGCGAAATTATGGATTCTGCTCTCATGCTCTCATGCATGATGAAATTAGTCTGATTTATAGACCTGGTTGGGCAAATCAGACGCTTCCTTACCAAAAAAGCCTACAGGATGAACAGTACTTTCCATAATCTGCCTCAAATGAACAATTATTTTTATAAACATTTGCTGTCATAGGCAGTCATTCATAGTTGTCAGCTAGTTTTTGTTCCTGCTGCATTTCTTCCATTTGTAATTTATATTTTGGCAAAAAAAGCGGCTTTTGCTTTTTTAATATCATTTATAAGTTGAATCAATATTAGTCTTATTTAGTTTCAAAATCACAATTACTATTTCTTGGTTAGAGTTGCCTTTTTCATTGAGCCAAATATCACACAGGTCAGCTCATAGTCACCTGCTAAAAATTGATTTGCGCCGGTTGTGCGCAAAAGTGCACATTGAGACAAAGGCACTAAGATCCCAATTGATTACTCTATAACATGCAATTGGAATTACACTGGTGCGCCCTGGTGGCTGTTTTATATGTCTTTGCAAAGTTTAATTTTATTTACAAGAAATGAAATTTGACAACATTTGCTAATTATACAATAAATGATTAAAATAAGTTCAAACATCAATTGGTTTTTAAGCCAACGCATAGTAGAAGCCCTAAAAATTCATATCCTTTTTAAATTTCTCAAAAATAATGTCTGGTCATTGAATAACGATGATTTGAAAATCGGCTAACACAAATTGTAAGCTGAAGGCAAATGCTTTTCGAAGATAACAGCTGACTTTAACAGCTGTTAGGCTTAACAGTGGACTGTTATTCAACATTTTGGGTACAGTACCTTAAAGTTTGGAGTTTTATTAAGATGTTAACATAAAAAAATTATAAATTTTCATACTTCGCAAAAATGACTAAATACCCGAAAAACGGCAAAATTCCCCATAGTGCAGTGTGGCAAATAACTGTTGTCACACCACAAGCCACATCCACATACACATAACCATACACACATATATATATATATATATATATTTATACCATCTATGTATACTTATATATAGATGCTTCTTGTTGAGCTCTGCTCAAGTGTGTGACAAGTTTTTGCAGCCACTCACAACAAATTGCCATGGATTTAGGTATTTTCATCGCCTTGCCAAAAAACTTTACTACAAAGTAGCTTAAAAAATGTATATATAAAGAATAGGCGACTTGAAAACACCCTGTCTATAAAATACTCAAAAATATAGAACGTGAATAATAATTTAATATAATAAATTAAAATAAAACACATAAAGCAAATAAATTTTTTTTAAATAAAACATTGCAAAGACAAACAAAATATCAGAAGCAAATAAAATAAAATAAATAACAAAACAAAAATTAATTTAAAAAAAACTAAAATAAAATTTTAAAAATATAAATAAATAAAATTAAAAAAAAAAAAATAATGAAATTCAAATAAAGATATATAAATAAAAGTAAATATAATAAAAATTAAAACTATAAAAAATTAAAAAAAATTAAATATAATATAATATAACAAAATATAATTTACTATAATTTACATTTCCATTTAATATCAGATTTGTATACTCAATATAAATATGTATGTATATGTAATGTTTATAAAACCCCTTAAACCCCAAGCTTTTTCTGCATTTTCCGATATATATTTCAACTAAATCCCCTTCAATTTAATATAGACTCTCACGTCGCACACTCGATTACAGGGCATATAAAATATCGTGCGATTTAAGGCTCTGGCCAAAAATAAGCAACAACAATAAAGATGATAACAAGCAGGCGAAAGAAGTTCATTGGATGAAAGTAAAATTTATGTACATCCATCTATATGTATATGTATATCTATCTAACTATCTATATATATATATAGTTATCTGTATATATGTATATAATAATTTTGGTGTGTACTTACAACTGTGATGGGATAGAAAGGATTTATGATAGTGAAGAGTAGAATGTGATTTGGCCGTGTAGTCTCAGGACGCTTTCTCCTTAGGTCGTCGTTTGACTTGTTCAGTAGTGCTTGCTGCTGACTCTGATTTTGTGTGGACTGTAAAGAGTAATATATATATTTTTATATAGTCAGATATCAACGTATTTGTCAGGTGTATTTTTTTTGTGTTTATAGTTGTTAAATAAAAAGACATTTACATATTTTTACATTTACATTTTTACTTTACACAAATCATTTTGGACAGTTACACAATTTTAAAAGAAACTAATACAAAGATGCAGCTAAATTAATGTATTATGCTCTATGAATTCTCTGGTCAGCAAGATACCCAAAACAAAAAACACCGAGGACTTCAATAGCGTACTATCAAAATTATTCTCATTTATAATTTCATACAATTTGTTGCCAATAATTTTCAACTGTTCCGCATAGGCGCGAGCGCTACAAATGATTTTTTTAATTAGTTAGAAATTTCACAGCGCTTCATTTGTTCAATGTATTATTTACCACAGTATACAGGACACCATCTCTAGATTTTATATACTTGATAATCGAGTATAAAAAGCTCTCTATATATGCAAAGAAATGCACGTCGCAAAGCTAGTGAAAAATTCGAAATTTTACGCTTGAAAATGTTTTTAAAAAGTGAATTCTAAATCGAAGCATTCGAGATTGAAAGAAGAAAATATTTTCACAAGCTGAAATTTTTAGCTAAACATAATATACATTTCTTTCTGTATCTCTCCTCTTCCTTTTCACCGCTCTCTTTCTCTCTGTGTTTGTATAGCTAAAAAATCAATGCACTAATTAAAAGTCTTTGGCCATTAGCTGGCAGACCACATGTCAAACTGCCTGTCAAATTGTTGTGCACAACCGTTTCCAATAGCCCCAAAATGCAATTGATTTTTCAGTTTCTCGTTTTGCCTGGCTCTAATGACGTTCGTTTATTTGCGAAAAAAATTCAAGTCAAAATAATAAAAAATCTTCACTTTTTTTGCATACGTTTTCACGTTAATTGACGCTGTCAACAAAATACTTAAAAAAATAAAACAAATACAAAGAAAATACAACAACAACAAAAGTAGGTAAATTCTCTTAGCATAATTTGTTTCGAGGGACTCTATAAATAATTGCGGAATTTAGGTAAAACATGTTCATGTCACGTTCAAATGTCAATCAACGCTCATGATGGGCCAAGCGGATGATTGCGGAGGGGCAGGTAAGGCGTCACACATTCAGGTGAGAAAAATATTGTTGCACATGCATGACGAGAAAGACAGAGAGACAAAGAGAGAGAGAGAGAGAGATAGGCAGCACATTATAGACAGGTGGGAGCTGGCGGGCGGGAAGCAGCCTGGAGTTCGCTTTAGCCTCATAGACTTGACATCAAAATGCCAGACATGCGCCGATATTTGCGCTAATTAAGTAGGGCATATGCCAGGAAATGATGACAACGAAGCATCGAAACATGTATATTTGGAATTTTTGCATACTCTATAACTTTTAATCAGTATCTGAACTTGTGTATTGTGTACTATCAACTACTTAAAATTGCCTGCTGATTGCATTGATTGTAGACCCATCAAGTGGCTAGATTAATTTCTATAATTTAAAGAGAATATTCATTTATTTTGTTTAATTAACAGAATAAATGAATATTAATATTAAAATTATTAATATTAAAATTATTAATATTAAAATTATTAATATAAAAATTATTAATATTAAAATTAATATACTCTTTAGTTATTCAAGGTAGAAATTTATGAAAAAATACTAAAAATATAATACACAAATATTTGCATGTAAAATGAAGGAAAGCTGATTCGATCTTGGACATATCCAAATTAACTATATAAGTGGAGACGAACTTGGTCTTTGAATAAATTATATATGCATCAGACTATTAATAACTGAAATCTTTGTAGTCCTTTACATTTCAAAGCTCAAGTCAAAATATTGAACGAAAATATGCAAATTATATAAAATGTTTGAAAATGTTACATTTTTAAACAAATTATATAGGAATTTAAAAAAGTGACATCTAATTTCATATATAATAAATAAAAACATTTACAAAACTCTTCAATAAGTCTATATCCATTTGATATATTTATCAACCTCTCTGAAATTCTATTTGCCATCCCTGCCTTCCATCTCTTTCTGGCTTTCTATCTGATTTCTCTCTCTCCCTGTCCACTTCTGATGTCTTTCCTTCTCTTTCTATTTCCTATATCTTTCACGTTCTCTCTCTCTGAATGCTACATCTCTCACTCCCTCTCACTATATATCACTCTATATTATTCCTATCATAGCTCTCTCTCTCTCTCTTTCTCTGTCTCTTCACTCTAATTGACTTCATTTCTCTTTTGCAATTCTTGCATAACTTTCGCTGCGTGTGTCTGTCTCCTTGAGCTGCAATTCATTAACTAATTAGCGTTTGCCATGATTAACTTTCCCACACCATTTTGCTGCTACTGCGGCTGCCGCTGCTGCTGCTGAGAATTTTGCTGCCGCACTTTCACGTGTCTTTTCTCTGTTTACGGTTTTATTATATATATATATATATAAGTATATATATAATTTAATTTGCTGCATTTTTCACAACATTCCCGCCACAACTCGAGTCGCTCACACTTAACCCTTTCCTCATTTTATTTTTATCTGCCGCAGTTAAGTATCTCAGACTTGAGCTTTGTTTTTGTTTTGTTTTTTTTCTCTCGTTTTTAGCCGGGTTTTACAATTAGGTTAATGGATCGCTGTTGCCTGTTGGCTGCAGCAGTGACGCGTACTTAGCACCCAAAGGGTTGACGAGCGACAATTGACACTCTGCAGGTGGGGGCAGGCTATCTTAAGGTCACGAGCTGGCTATAAATTGCTTAAGTGATTGACATCGTGACAGCTATGACAGCTCTATATACATATATAGTGAGAAGGTGCGAAAGTATTTAGATCAGTTCCTTGTTTGAGTTTTGCTATAAATTTAGATGCAGTTGCAGTTGTCGTTTCCCCAGAACTTTCTCAAGTTTCAACTGATCTCACAGGGTTAACGACATCTGTCTTAAATATCTCAAGTACAAAGAGTTTATCATGTGCCGCACAGCAGAACGAACTATCATTAGCAATTCTCAATATTTCCACACATTATCTATTGCCTTTTCCCACAGTGGCCTCAAGTGCCGACAAAATTGTGTATTTACCTTGTAACATAATCCAACAAGCAGCCTAGCAGCTTGTGAGGGTTTTCAATCAAAAACACCAACCAAAGAAGAAAACGAATGAGGAAACGAAAAAAATAACAGGAGACAACGGCGACGACGACGACCAAATATCTCAACAGCTTTGACGCACCATTTGTATGCGAGGAAAACCTCAAGGCGAGAGAGAGACTACAAAAACATTTGTTTTCTGTCAAATTTGCCTTTAATAATAATAAAGATCATATATTCAACGCCCACCCGCAAGGAAGAGCTGACGACACTGGAAACTGTTGATTAAATTACAACAACAAAAACCCAACCAGAGAGAGAGAGCGAAAGAGAAAAAAGCAGAGCATCACAAAGTGGAGGCTGTAAGTGAAATGATTGATGGATGTATGCCTGGCCGGGTTTAGGCTTAAGTGCATGGCAACCTAGTAACAGAAAAAAAATAAGTGGAAAATGATTTCAAATTTTAATTTATTTTGTTTTTTCCTCTACTCTCTCTCTCTCTCTCTCTCTCTCCGTGTCTCTTGTGAAACGAATAGTTCTATTCGTATTTTAGTTTAGCTTCGATTTGCTTTTTCTTTCCTTCAGAAAAAGCATTTGAAACATTTCTGGCACAACGGCGCGAACGATTTGAAAATAGCCGTGCGGCTGCATACCACGGCGCATTTCAACTCGAACCGCAACGAAATGAAGATGAATTACCCACGAACTATTCGCTAGGGACTATACCGACAGACCGGACGGATAGACGGACAGACAGATAGACGCGTCAGCGCCCATCGTTGCGGCAAGCAAATCACAAATAAGTTTTGCATCGAGCTAAAAAAGATTTGCACTCACAGTTGATCAAATGGTCAGCAACAACAAAAAATCAAAATGAAATAAAACAAGAAAAGTGCGGCGACACAGCCAAAAGATACAGATACAAGCGACGGGCTAAAGATACAGATACAGATACAGATACATTTACAAAATGCTTTGCCAAGAAATTTCACACAGCAAAAGAAAATAAAAGAAATAAATAAATGAAATAAAAAAGCTGCGTCGAGTTGCAAGTTGCGAAATCTCAGATAAAGATTCGTGGCAATATAAATAGCTAAAGATATATGGCCAGAGAGTCAATCTATCATTCTGTCAGTGCCGACTGATGAATTGACATTCATCAAATCGACTTGAGTCTATGCAGATCCCTAGTCTCCTGATTTGTAGTTCAGCCGATAATTGTTGAAGACTTGCCGAGAGAGAAATGTGAGAAAATTTGTTTGATGATTAGTCGAGAGAAAAAAAAGAAAAGAAAATTCATATTTAATAAGCAGGTGTAAGAAAATAAGCCTGAAATATTCGAGTTAATGTAGGTGAATTTATAGGGAGTTTAGCAGGGAGTACGAAGAATTAGAAGACTGAATTATTTTTTTATGTTGAGGAAGTTGTTTTTCTTTTAGCTCAGTTTCTTTCAGATCGCTGTTCTGCTTATCAAATTATGAATGAAATAAAATTTAGGTACAAAAAAAATAAAATAAAATAAAAAAAAATATATATATATATGAAAACTAAAGTTTATAAATATATAAGTCCATAACTCAAGAAAAGTCAAATTTTTTCTAGACAAACAAACAATTTTAATATTTAAATGTTAAATTAAATGGTCAAAAGTTTTTCTTTTATCAATAATTATAAATTATTTTCAATATGTGAAAACTAAAGTTTATAAATATATAAATCCATAACTCAAGAAAACTCAAATTTTTTCTTGACAAACAAAAAATTTTAATATTTAAATCCTTCATTCAAAATCAAATCTAAATTTGCTTTTTTAACTAATTTAATGTAATTTTATTAACTTAAAATGTTAAGAAACAATTATATTATATATTATAAAAATGAAATGTCTTCTTTAATATAGTACATTTGTAAGAAAGCAATTATTTGCAAACTTTAAAAACCCTTTAAATTCAATTTGCTTTCAACTTTCTAGCCATAAACAAAAGTTGCATTAAAAATCGCAGCTCATTAGGGCGTGCGGCAAAAGCAAATTGAGCTCTACTGCGGCCAGGCTGCCAAGGGACGGCTGCTGACGACTGTCTCAATAAATGACTGACTGACTGAATGATTGACTGACAGAGTGACTGACTGACTGAGTGACGCTAATGCGGCCCTAGCCGCATGCTAGGCACATGCTGCTGCCCTTCAACGTCGGCCCACAAATGCAACATATTTACGAATGCAAATAATGTTTTTTATTTTTTCTTTTTCGTTAGGTTTTTTTTTTTTGGCTAGAGCTGCGTGCGCCGACGGCGACAGCGACAGCGACACACGAGGCGGCATTTGTTACTCGCAATTAGTTGCACTGTATTTTGCCAACAGACGCTGCATGCAACGCACCGCCCCACCCCGCCACGCCACGCCTCAGGCCATCACACTCTGTAAGAGCCCGCGAGACGAGGCCGGCAAATGTCGAACGAGAATTGCACATGAAATGCAATTTACAAAATGTTTTCTTCAACGTTTGCATTGCGAAATTTAATTAAAACACAGCAGCCGCTACAAAAACAACAACAACAACCAGCAGCAGCAACAACAACAACAATGAAATTAAATGCTGCAGTTGAGTGAGCGACAAGAGCGCCTGGTTGGACCCGAGAGTTTTTATACCCTGAACCCATTGAAAATGGGAAATCAGGGTATAATGGTTTTGTGAAAAGTATGTAACAGGCAGAAGGAGTCATCGCAGACCCCATAAAGTATATATATTTTTGATCAGGACGACGAGCTGAGTCGATATAGCCCTGTCCGTCTGTCCGTCCGTCCGTCCGTCCGTATGAGCAAAAGGATCTCAGAAGATATAAGAGCTAGAGAGCTGAAATTTGGCATGCATACTCGTGTATACCATAGGCAGTACAAGTTTGCTTTATTTTTTCGATAACTCGTCCGATAACTTTTTTATCGAGAATAATCGAAAAATCGACATTGTTTTTTCAGCTTAATTTGAACATTTTTAGACCTGGAGACTTCAAATTTGCGTTGTATATAAAGTTAATCGATACAAAGATTTTGTAATTTACAGATTTTGGATACCACGCCCCCTTCGCCCCCAATTTGTAAAAAACGCATTTCAAGTACTAGAGACTTGTGCTTTGGAATGGACACACATTTTAGCTATATGATTACGCTCTAAAAGTTTCATTATGATCGTATGTCTACAAAAGAAATTATTCAACAAATAAATTCTCATAATATTGCCCACACTGCAGTGCAGCCTAAGCGCAGCCGCTGCTAGCTGCGCAGTTTGCAGAGCGCGTGCTTATACATGCATGTGTATGTATGTGTGTATAAAAGAAGTCCAGAATGATTAGAATATCAGTTTGGAGGGTTCAGGGTATCTCCTAGTCGAGCAGTCTCGACTGGAGCATTCTTACTTGTTTTTTT